TTAAAGTCGCAAATAAGTTAATTGTGCAAAATATTTGATTATTTGAATTTCAATAGCTAATTTTAAGTGTTATTAGCGTTAGGTGTTAAGGGGAAACTAGAATTAAGACGAAGTCGTTTTGAGTCAAAACTTTTTATAATTACGCTTAGGACGTGAATCTCGATAGTTTAATTTTCTTTCGAGACTAGTATATTAGTAAGCTATCAAATTTCATTTAGGGTGAAATCTTGAAGTTAGTTTATTAATGAGAGCTTAAATGGAAGTCCGAACAAGTTGTTAAAAGACCAAAATAGCCTTCCTCCATTTCAAATTCATCATGCAACCATGGAACGTCCTAGAACAAGCTCCACATACAAACATTTCCATTCCAGCCGGTTCCCTTCTCCACTATAACAACTACCACTCACCACAATATCTTGATTCCATTTGCTTTTCTGCCATGAGCCGTGAGTGACCAGCTTCTTTGGAGTTAATGACCGAGAGAAAAATAAAGTGAGGACTTAGCTTAATTCCTAGCTTCACCTTAAGACCAACCGAGAGAGTGTGAGCAAGAGGAAGGGTGCGAACCGTCTGTCTTCACCTCTTCCACCACTGCCGAGCTGCCATTTCCTTCTTCGTCTTCCATCAGCTGAGCTCAACCACAACCACCAACTCCACAGCTTACACAAACCGAGCTCAGCCCAGCCATACCTGAGTTCCATAGCAAGCCGCGAGAAAAAAAAAATTCGCAGCTGCTTGTCGTGTGAGCTAAGCCTTAAGCTAAGGTAATTTCTGGATTTAAACTAGTTGATTATGGGTTGATGAAGCTGTTTGTAAGCATGCATGTGGGGTTTGTGCGGTTGGATGACAAAATTAAGTTACAGGAAATCTGGTTGTGAAGGAATTGGAATTGCCGAGAGCTTGAGCTGGAAATTTCAGCTTTAATCTGTGAATTTGTGATGATCTGAGTTTAATTGTGGGTTTAGCTAGTTAAAAACTGATAGATAGTTAATTATTTGGTGTTGCATGTGAATTGTATGGCCGGAAATTCAGTTGTATGGCTGGAAATTTTTATTGGAAGTTGGTTGACTGCTGAACCAATTTTCCAGCTTAGCCGATGGAGTTATTTTGGGAGTTGTATGGATATTTTGGTATAAAATTCGCTGGAAAGTGCTTGATTCTCACTTGGTTGTGTGTTTAGCTAACCAAACACTGGATGATTAAGCCTTGCGTGAGATTATTTGGCTATGAGTAAATCAGAAAATTGAAGGAAAACTGAATCTGCTTGCATGCAAGCTAACCGAGTGGGATTGAATAAATTTCTGGTTGAATGATAAGTTGTTGATGTTGTCCGCACTTGGTTTGGATAAAAAATGCTAGATAGCTAATTATTTTAATCATGCATGAAGCTGATATGAGTCATGGATAGAAAAAAAAAAGGGAAAGAAAAGGAATCTGAAATTTGCGGCCGAGAGAAAAGGTTGAACATTTGATTAGTTTTTCTTCGAATTTGTAGCTGAGATTTTCATATTGGATGCTTAATATTTTCTTGTAGCTTGTTAATCACTTTTTGCACGCTGAGTTGAAGTAAAAATTGAAGGAAATTAGGGGCAAAGCACTATAATTAAACTGTTATATTGCTGGATTTTGTTCAAGATTGCTGGCCGAATTAATTGGGACTTTTGGTGAGATTATTTTCTGGTTTTGTGTATTACTTGTTTTAGTTAGATCGGTCAGATTATAAGCTATATGTTTAGTGGTTCTAGCAAGTAAAAGATGGAGATTTAATGGATGTCTTGAATTGGCAATTGCTGGATTTTTCTTGACTATCAAAACAAGAAAAGGAATATGAAATTCTAGAGTTATTTGTGAGTAAGCTAACCGTGATTTTCTTTCATGTTTGAGTTAAATTTCTAGTTGATTGGTTGCAAGAAATATTTGTTTGATGCCAAGAGCTAATGATTGATGAAGCACTTGGCCATTTGAATAGTTTTTGCAAGAATTTAATTTTTGGTGAATTTGTTCAGGTGGTTGGCTGAAATGTACTTGGAAGGTCCATGGTTTGCAATTTGGAATTGTTGTGATACCTTGGACTTCCTTTGTTGAATTTGTTTGGAACTGAATTCGTTGAGACCTAGGGCTAATGATTGATGAAGCCCTAGTGAAATCGATGTTTGGTTTGTGATTTTTCTATATTGGTGACTTGGAATTCAAAGTGCAAATGAGTTGGAATCGTGAAATCCGTTATGGCCTTTTGAATTTGAGTATTTTTGATCAAGCTTTATTGAAATATTTTATCTTAATATCAAGTTATAGAAATTATGTATAGTACGATAAAACTAAAATTTAAATACTGAGACTTTTAAAACCTTGCTAACTAGCTAAGTCTTTTCTTTGCTTGAACTAGTTTTATTATCTTTAAGAAATAATTATATTAACTTCCAAACTTTAAGTTTTTCATAAAATTGTCCATGGCTAGTTGTTTAAGCGGAAAATTGTTTAAAACACTAGATTTGAATAATTTCGAATAAAAGGCTTGGAAAAACTTGTTTGGCAAGAAAACTTGTTTGAATTAGATTGGTTTCAGTTGTACCTGTAGAAAGAAAAGTAGCTTTACAGGAATTATACGAAATATTTTATTACTTTACTAGCTTTGCAAGAGTTTTATTGATTTATTCCGAGTATATAAATTAGTTTTATACCAGATAATCTTTTGTATTTAAACCAAGGGTTGTTTAGTAAAACTTATAGTTTAAAACTTGGATTTCTAGGGTTTAGCGAGGGCGTGGACTTCGATTCCCAGCTTGACTTTTGAGCTTCACTTTTGGTGAGTGTCCGTGCTTGTTCTATGACTAAAGTGTTAAAATGCTTTCTTGACTTGTTATGTGATAATTGGAAAGTGATTTTCCTGAACCATCGAAGTGGCAGTGTGTACTTTATCGCACTAACCTTTCGAGTGGTGACTTGCTTGAAATGTTTTCTCCAATATCTTGCAATTGTTGACTAGAGCGTGGACTCGTCAACTAACCTACCAGGCAGGGGAACGTACCACACCTTAGGGTGGGAGGGCCTCTTATCCTGACTTGGTAAAAATGTGTTGTGACGTCGTTGGGTGAATCCCTCGACTAGTTTATAATGTGACGTCGTTGGGTGAATTCCTCGACTAGTTTACAAAAAGGTATACTCGAGTAATACCAAACTCTCTCGTGAGACGTGCGGGCCCGGTGGGGAGTAAGTTGGTTGGAGCGTGTTAAGAAAAAAATAGTGAATCTACATGGACTTTAGATAGTGAGAGTTGACGGAGGGTCAACTGCGATTAATTTTGATCAAGTGCGTGGAAAATGGCTCCTGAGAGCCCCTGTATCCTACCCTGTGCTGTTTTATGCTTTTCTACTTGCTGAATTTAAGCTTGAAGATTACTTACTATTTGTGTTATATGATTGCATGTTTTGGGGCACCACTGAGTTTTAATGCACCACACGATATTTGTTTTTCCTTAACAGGTTTTGGCGTGCGAGAGATTTGAAATCTGCTTTTAGCCTTTGTAAATATTGTTTCGAATCGGTCTATGTATCTTTTGTTTGGGTTGCCACTTGAAGCTGGAAAAGTGCAAACCCTAAGTTTTGGCTTTTATGAATTTATTTGACCTTTACGAGTTTACTTTGTGGTTTGTTTGTATATGTGTAGTTATGTGTTAAGCTAGTTGGAGATGTACTAAGGGTGAACGTTCAGATGTCCAATGGCAATATTATCTCTGAAGTTAATGTGTCTTTAGTATTCCGGTCGTTTAAAGGTTTGGCATGTTCGGATGATGACAATTTTGTTTTGGTTTAAGTTATACGTGGCAAGGGTTTAGTCGGTTTCTTGCGTGAGTCCTGGCGAGAGCTAGGCAGGCGACCCGCCAACCCTCTGGTTCGCCTTAGGGAGAAGTAGGGCCGTCGCAGGTGGTATCAGAGCCTAGGTTAGAAAAATTATTTGGAAGAAATATTAGATATGTCAGAAACCCTGAACCATTTTAGAGTTGAGAAGCGAGATAATTAGACGCATTCTAAGTAGTACCTGAGCAAGTTAGCTATTAAGTATTAACCTTTGGATTTTGGTTATTTTGCAGGTATGGAAAACGGAAATGGACATAGTAATGGTAATGGAGTGGCTAATGGACATGTAGAGCCTCTTAGGTCTATCTCCTATAGGCCACAAGGCGGAGGACCTCGTATACGTTATACACCAGCTGATAGGTTTCCCCGATGCCAGTGTAGGGTCACGTATGCTTACCCCAATGAGTTAGTGCTATCTTTGGACGACTAGCGTTGCCAGCTGAGGGACGCTAATCATATTTTGACCCAGGATGTCGAGGAATTGAGCATCATGGTTGATACTCAGATGGATCGTATAGCTGAGCTCGAGCAGAGGTTAGCAGCCGAGAGGGCTAGGTCAGAGGCCGCTCGTGAGGAGTTAGGGAGACAGTGGTCTCGATTGACTCGAGTAGCTGAGGAGGTACGTGATAGGAGTGCGGGTATTAGGGCCGACGCTACTATGATGATAGACGAGGTCATGGGGATTATTTAGGATACTGCTCAGGCAGGTGTGGAGGAGGACCCGGAGGAGGACCCTGAGGAGGACGTTGCTCCTGGTAGCCCTGCCGAGGGTTAGACTAGGTTTGATCTGTTTGTATCTACATGTCTAGGGTTAGTTAGGGTGACACTAGTTTAGGTCATAGCATTTTGTCTAGCTAGATGGCCTACTTTTGAGGCACTATATCCCTATTTTTGGTTTAAGGGATTGTTTGTATATATTTGCTAAACTTGTGTGCCATACTTTTGGAAGGCACCCTAACCTACTATTTGTATGAACTTTGGTGTGTGAATATATGTGTTAAGTGTTTTATTTTCCTCTCCTTAATATTCGTGTTGATTTTACTTACAAAAGAAAAATATATATAATAATAATAATGATAATAAGTAAATAAATAACAATAGCTTCGATTAATTGCTCTATTTACATATAGGCATAACTAGGCTATGGATCGACGAGTTAGAGGTAGAGAACGTGGGAGATCAACTAGACAACACCCCGAGGGTAGTGGTGCTAGGGAACCTGAGGTCAACCAAGACCATGGTCAGGGAAACGTGGCCGGAGATCCAGTGGCCACCGCAATCAATAGAATAACTGATGTGTTAGAGCGCGTGACTGAGCACCAAGCCCATGGAGTGGCGCATCACCAAGGAGGCCCAATCGATACTGAGGATCGGGCATTAGAGAGATTCCTGAAATTTGGACCACCTAAGTTCTACGGAGGTCCAGAACCTGAAGTAGCTGAAGGTTGGTGGGAGAGGATCTCTGACATTTTTGTCGCTCTAAATTATACGGAAGAGAGGCAAGTGACTTTCGCAGCATTCCAGTTTGAGGGAGCTGCTCGTTCCTGGTGGAACCTAATTAGGGTCAATTGGGACAGGAATCATATTCCTAAGACCTGGGCGAACTTCACAAGGGAGTTCAACGCCAAGTTCCTACCTCCTCTCATCCAAGAGAAAAGAGAGGACGACTTTATCAAGTGTAGGCAGGGGGCGGTGAGTGTCGCTGAATATGAAATTCAATTTACAAAATTGTCCCGTTTTGCCCCTGAATTGGTAGCCACGGAGCAAAGGCGTATAAGGAGGTTTGTGCAGGGACTAAACGTGGAAATCCAGGAGGGATTGGCTGCCGTTCGGATAGATACCTTTGCTGATGCTGTTGAGAGAGCTCAGAGACTGGAAGTTGCTAGAGCTCAAGTAAAGTCCTTCCAGGCCAAGAAAAGATTTGGCCATAGCAGCAGTCGGGAGCCGACTTATGCAAATGCTCCACCGGCCAAAGTGGGTTGAGGAACGGGTGGAGTAAATAGTTCTGGAGCACCACGAGGCGCTCTAGCAAGAGGAGCTGGGGCAAGAGGTACCGGAAGAAGAGATATCGGTACTGGAGGAGTACCAAGTGGAATGAATCAAACTAGGAACGCCCCGCAAGGAGGTCGTGTGACCACCCCTCAGGTAACTTGTGGATATTGCAGGAGGGCTGGCCATACTGAGGACGGATGTTGAAGGAAGGAAGGGAAGTGCTTGAGGTGCGGAAGCAGTGAACACCAGATTGCCGGTTGTCCAAAAATACAAGAAGGTGGTACCCCAAGTGCTAGACAATCCACTTTTGGAGGAAATAGGCCGAAAGTTTCTGCCAGGGTGTACGCTATGGACGATCAACCTGTACCTGATTCCTCAGAGGTTGTGGAAGGTACTCTTCCAATCTTTCACCGATTAGCTAGAGTACTAATTGATCCTGGCGCAACTCATTCATTCGTGAATCTAATTTTTATGTCCGGAATTGATGTACAACCTGTTAAATTACCCTTCGATCTTGAAGTTAGGACACCTATGGGTAATAGGAGTATAATTACTAGCCTGGCCTATAAGAACTGCGAGTTCTGGGTGGGAGAGCGTAAGATGCTAGTAGATCTAGTCAGTTTGGACATAAAAGGATATGATGTTATTATAGGAATGGATTTCCTAGCGCATTACCACGCTAAGCTTGATTGTAGAGCAAAAGTGGTAGAATTTTGGATTCCTGGGAAAGCAACCCTGAAATTGGATGTGAAAGGTAGGTTAGCATCATCTGCGATGATTTCGGGAGTTCGGGCAAGAAAAATGTTGTTTGGAGGAGCGCAAGGTTTCATAGCTTTCCTGATTAATGCTCCCAGTGATCAAGTAAGGTTGGAGGATGTACCAGTGGTAAGGAAATTTCCAGATGTGTTTCCCGAAGAATTGAAAATGTTACCTCCGGAGAGAGAAGTGGAGTTCAAGATTGATCTAGTGCCGGGAATGGCCCCGATTTCTAAGACTCCGTACCGAATGGCTCCTGCAGAGCTAAAAGAATTGAAAATTCAATTACAGGATTTATTGGAGAGAGGTTTTGTTAGAGAAAGTGATTCACCATGGGAAGCACCTGTTCTATTTGTTAAGAAAAAGGATGAAAGTTTGAGGTTGTGTATTGATTATCGAGGATTAAATGAGGGTACAATTAAAAATAAATACCTTCTACCATTGATTGACAGCTTATTTGATCAGCTGCAAGGATCAGTAGTTTTCTCCAAACTGGACTTGAGGCAAGGATATTATCAGTTGAAAATTAAGGAGGAAGACATACCTAAAACTGCTTTTAATACAAGATATGGACATTTTGAGTTTGCAGTCATGCCATTTGGATTAACTAATGCACCAGCTGCCTTCATGGACTTAATGCAGAGAGTCTTTAAAAAGTACTTGGATCGGTTTGTAGTAGTTTTTATTGATGATATCCTAGTATATTCTAAGACTCGAGAAGAACATGTTCAACACTTGAAAATGGTTCTGCAGATTTTAAGAGAGCATAAATTGTATGCTAAATTTAGCAAGTGTGAGTTTTGGCTGGATGAAATTTCTTTTCTAGGGCATAAAGTTTCTAAAGAGGGAATTGCCGTGGATCCGGCAAAAGTTGAGGCCGTTATGATGTGGAAGCAGCCAGAAACTCCAACAAAGGTTAGAAGTTTCTTGGGTTTGGTAGGTTACTATAGGCGATTTATCAAGGACTTTTCAAGGATTGCTGGACTATGACAGAGCTGACAAAGAAAAATAATAAGTTCATTTGGACTCTAAAGTGCGAATCAAGTTTTCAGGAGTTAAAGAGGCGCTTAACATCAGCTCCTGTGTTGGCATTGCCTGTCGGAGTAGAAGGTTATGTCGTATACTCTGATGCCTCTAGAGAAGGACTAGGATGCGTACTAATGCAAAAGGGTAAGGTAGTTTCCTATGCCTCTAGAAAACTGAAGTCTCACGAGCAAAATTACCCAACGCATGATCTAGAACTGGCCGCAGTGGTCTTTGCCCTAAAGAAATGGAGACATTACTTGTACGGTGTGACCTTTGAGGTTTATACAGACCACAAGAGTCTCAAGTACTTGTTTTCTCAAAAGGAATTAAATTTGAGACAAAGGCGATGGGTGGAATTTTTGGAGGATTATGATTGTTCAATAAACTACCACCCAGGAAAAGCCAATGTGGTAGCAGACGCTTTAAGTAGAAAGGCTCAAGTAGCGGGGTTAATGGTAAAAGAATGGGACATGTTAGAAGAGGTTAGTAGTTGGAACCCTCGCTTGGAGAGATTGAAGATTTTATTTGAGAACCTGACGTTGAAATCACCATTGATAGAGCGTATTAAAGAGGCACAGAAAATGGACCCCACGATCCAGAAAAGGTTGGAGAAAGTGCAAAACGGAGAAAACCTGGATTTTAAACTAGGGTCTGAAGGAGTGTTAAGGTTTCGAGATCGGATTGTGGTTCCAGTTGATGAAGGGTTAAGGAGAGAGATTCTAGAAGAATCACATCGATCAAGGTATACTATACACCCAGGAGTGAACAAAATGTATCACGATGTGAAGAAATTATACTGGTGGGACGGTTTGAAAAAGGACGTGGCAAAGTTTGTACGAAAATGTCTGATATGCCAGTAAGTAAAAGCTGAACATCAGAAACCTTCTGGTTTATTGCAGCCACTAGAAATTCCTGAATGGAAGTGGGAACACATTATGAGAACCCTCATTTTTAAAATACAATTTCCCCAAACTACATGACTTGCACCAAGATTTAAACCACCTCTTATATGCCCTAGCATTATATTTCACAATGTGTTACAACAAATACCTTGTTTTGACCCTCACTTTAAAACACAATTTTCTTACTTACATGCCTTATTATAAGATCTAGACCATTTAATATATGCCCTTACAAATTATTTTCTACGTGTTATAATAATTTCCATGCATTTCATTTCAATTCATTTTACTTGAAGTAAAATATTTCCTTGAGCTAAGTTGTAAATAATTCATCACTTGTAATTGTCCAAGTGTTCTTTTATTAGTGGTAGAGACTTTATGTGAGAGATTAGAGGTGTTGAATAATTATTGGTGCATTTGGAAAGGTAAGAATGGCATTAGTCAAAGATTAAGAAAGGTTAGGACAATAATGGAGCCATGTGGCAAAACCCTAGCCATATATCTTGTTTGACCAAAGGATTAGAGGAATTTTAAACCAACTTTGCTTCATTTTCCTCCAAAATTTCGTCCACCTTAAGGGCTTCCAAGGGAAGGAAGAAAACTCCATCTTCTTGCTATGACAACCTTAGTTTGATCTTGAACAAAAACCAAAAGAGAAATATCTAGAGTTTGTGAGAAAATTTCCTTCAATCTTTGAGGTTGTTTCAAGCCTAAAGCTTCTATTGTGGTGGTTTGTTTGGTGACCAAAACAACTTGTAAGTAAGGTATGTAATCTTTAAAATTTGGGTTTATGATGTTATATCATTTACTTGAGGTTGAAATGGTGAAAACAACTTGTTATGGTTGAATTTGGGGTTAGTTTCTTGAGTTAATCAAGTAATGGTTAGGTTTACTAATATGCATACCAAGTGTTTGATGAAATGTCTAACCCTTATTCATGTGTGTTTATGAAGTATTGATATGTTTTAAACCCCTATTTAGTTGGATCTAATACTTGTTATGTGCAAGGAATGAAAATAACAAGAAGAGTAGAAGTTAGAAATTTTTAAAGTGTGCTGACCGAAACTTTTTAAGCTTGCTGCCTGGTTTTTCCTTGATATTTTCATGCACATTTTGGCTACAAATGTGAGTATTATATGTTGGGTTATGTGTGTGGAGGTTGTCTACAAAAAAATTAGCCAATTTGGTTGAATAAATTTTGAGTTATAAACAAAGGAGGAAAACTGGACTAGGTCCAGAAATTTTCTGTCCAGCAATCTTGTTAAGGTCATAACGTGTTACTCACTGATCGGAATTGAGTGCCGTTTGTGGCAATTGAAAGTAGACTCTTAGAGCTTTAAAACGGTACAAAGCTCATTTTCTGGTTCATCCTGAGCGATCCGTGGCGAGTCTGGAAAGTTGGCTGTCCGGGAAGTACTGTTCATCCGAGACAGTCCAGAAAGTTCATTTGGTTTCTTAATTTTGAGCCACTTATGTTGGGATTTTGGAAATGGTTTCTTCTAGACAAATTTATCCTTATGAACCTAGTTTCCAATGCAACTGATGGAACCTAATTCTGACTTTCCCACAATGAGCAATGACCATTTTCCCGAGGCTGGCCGGGCGAGACAGTTTAACCCGTAATGAAGCCTTTGAGCTGTAGTGAAACTTTTCTTTTGCCAAACTTTCATGTACATACTAGACTTGTTTTCCATGAACTTTCACCGTGGTTTAGACCCTATTTGCATGCCGGATTAAGTAGCTTAAGCTACTCACTTGGCCTCTTAATGAACCTATACTTTAGTAGGGAACGAATCCAATTATTAATGTTTTCACTCGTTGACCTAGGTTTGGGCAACGACGGTGATCGTAACTGAGACGTTTGACATCGATTATTACTTTTGCTTGACAGGTGAGTGTTCCACTACCTGCTACTTGTTATGTGAAATATTCGTGTACTTGAAAGTATTGAATTGTTATTGTTTGAGCCAAACACTGTTTTAATTAAAATTGAGGCGAGTGTGTATTTTATCGCACTCGACCTTCCTTATTTTTTTTCTTTTCACTGAGGCTCTACTTACTGAATGAATTAACATGAAATGAGATATTGCTATACATGACTGTGCTTAAGTTGCGTGGATGACATTCCACCAACTACTGTTACTGTTTGGGTACCCAACCTCATAGGTGAGTCGGTTGTATCGAGCCAGCAAGGGCTTGGTCGAGAAGGCCGATAAACCTTGAGGACTGTTTACTGTTCACTGGAAATTGAATCTTGCTTGGAGGTTCCTGGTGAAGCATAGCCGTTGTGCTTGCTTGTTGTGTTGT